TTCTAAATTCGGAGCCACAATTTCGTTGTATATCCGATCGTTCAGTATTCTCGACCCTCCCATTGTTCTCTTTATTCACGGCAAGTGCCGTTTCTTTTTCGCCGAAAGTTTTCGAGAGAAACAACAATGGGACAATGGGAGGATCGGTTTCTCTGACCTCCAAATTGCAACTGCATTAATGTGGGTGGTCGAACGTTTCTAGTTGACCTTGCTAAAGCAAACTCGGCCCCGCCTAAAGGTGGAGAACTATCGATAGTCACTATCATCGATAGTTTCTGATATTTCCATATTTATTTATTTATTTATTTATTTATTTATTTAAACCGTTTCTCCGTACTGGACAGACCCAACGGAAGGCTCCTGGACAAAATCCGTTTAGCCTTTTCCGCTCTGTACGAAACTTTCAACTCATATTTTCATATCCTACTATCGATGCTATCGGGAACATTCGAAAAGGAGGGAAAAATAAAATCACCCTTCATACAATATCGATAATTTTTCCAAAGTACTACAAGCAATCTATAATGTTTTTCTCTTACTTTACATGGATTTTCTAAATCGATTGGATTTTAATAGCAAAGTGGCGTATTTCGCCCACATATTATATGTGTCGCTTCATGAAAATAGTTTAAACATACAACTATGTGATTTAATATTAAAATCTCGTCCGCCATTAGTGGTGCCCTTTTATATATTTAATAATGTCTGATTCGAACTATTTTTAGTTTCTAGTAGTCTCTTAATCATGTACAACATAATATACCGGTTAATAACGGGTAATAAGATAGCACTTTGGACGCGACGCACCGCGTACCACAGTCAACGTGGCGCTGCCGAAATTCTAATTATGTTTTGATTTCGGGCAGAGTGTCAATTCCCAAAGAGACACGGATGTCGTCATCCGCGGATGACGCTCGATCGTGACTCCACCGATTTCCTAGCCATCGCCTTCCGCTTCTGGCGCGTGTTCCCTTTTGGCAGTCGACCGACGTGTGTATACCTTCGTGTCGCGTATGCCTTTCTCGCGCAAGGTAGAACGGCGAATACCTGCGTCGAGCGGAGGGATTCGCATAATTCGATAAATTCATTGAGGCCACGGGGCGCGCGCGCGACTCGGCGGAAAACGAAGTTGGGCGCGCGACCCGTTCTCTCCCCGAGGACGATTATTATGAACCTTGCATCGAAACTAATTTACTTCTGATCAAAGTTCGACCAACACCAAGGGTGGGTGGCTTCCGATTATTTCTGCCGGTTAGAAAAGTTTGCTGTTTTTAATTACGACCAGAACGTCGTTCGATGGAACGGCGGGCCGCGTGGACGAAAATAAATGAAGCGGAATAATCGAGGTCTTACGGGCGAACCGAATAATCCTCGGATGTTTTTTCCGTTCTCCCGGTTGCGTCTGTGTTGCTCAAAACACGATCGCAAGGTCGCATAGCTGAGATATTCGGCTCGTGCTTTATTAGCGCGCAAATAAGTTAGTCGTAATTAATCGTCACCGACGTCCTAATCGCTATTTTAATTACGCATTCGAATAGGAATTTTCCTTTTGAATCTGACATCGTCGAGAATTATTTTCCAAACGATGGATTATCTATAGAGTCGAGAGTATGGCTTCTATGGATCACGGGTGACGGCCGTCGACTATTTTTATCGTGACGCCGTGGTCAAAATCGGTGTTCCGATATTTCATTCATCTACGACGGGTGCGTCTCGCATACAACAGCCCAGTCGCTGATTGAAGAAAGTGCCTTTATTACATGAAAAAATGTACGTAGGTTTCATTGTCGCGGCACCTGTTTCCCGATTACCGATTAACGCCAATTCCTGCCGGGGGTCGGTTTTAATGACTCGCGTCGTCACGATGATCACGCGTGCACACGCGACTTTTATGCAACAGTCCCGTAATCCCTCGCATTCACCTCTGAACATCCTTTCAACTGTAACGGTCGTCAAGGTTTTACTTTACCGCCCTCTTCATCATCTCTACTCTTCTTCCGACCCTCTTTCCTTCCGCACGCTTTTTAACATCCGCCAACCCTGTTCTTTGGACCAGTCGGCCGAGAGCTCGCGTTAATTCGTCTTGCCTCGTCGTTTTCAATTACTCACTGATCTCCACACGAATATCTCGCGTAGAACGATCGGTGGAATTTGGAGCGCGAGCTCGTACAGCTCGACACTGTTGAAGTTTGTAACAATGAAACTGAGCCAGTTTGAGCTTGTTAGTTTCCCCTAGGGGGACAAAATTCATAACGCGCAGTAAATATACAACTTATTTTTCAAAGCTCGATCTGACATCGATGATGTTGGATTTTAACACAATTTCGACACGTCAAAATAAAAAGAATCCTAATGTAAGTGGTGGTGATGTAGTTAAAATCGTTTTTATTTTGACGCGTCAAAATTATGTTAAAATCCAACAGTATCGATACCAGATTGAGCTTATGTTGAAAATAAGACTTAGACTTATTACTCGTTTTGAATTTTGTCTTCCTAGGGAAAACTAGCTCAAGCCCGAGCTGCCTCAGTTTCACTGTTACTAGCTGTACAATGTGTCCCCTGAAACGAACGTAAAAGTTTCTACAACAATCCGTTTCCATAAAAAAATATGCCCCCTTGAAATATACGAATACCGTACAAGAACTTTCGTCCATCTCACACAACTTGTAATAAAGAATAATGAATACCCTGTTTATTGTGTTTATTTTAATAATAGTAATAATGTTTTATCTTATTTCACGGGCAAAGTCCATTATAACATACAATAGAAAG